GAAAAAATGTACCTGTTCCAACTTACAAACAATTCAACTTAAGAACAAACCTACAGAACCTATCTTGTTCGTAACTTGGGAACTGCCTGTATCTACTTACAAAGTTTCCAAGATTTATTAACAGATCCTACTTGGTGACTACAGTCTAATGCACCATCGAATCTAATGCGCACCTCAATTTTCAAAACCCTGAAACCAAAAATAAAAAAGTATTTTGCTCAATGTAATGCATAGTGGCAAAAAATGCACTTTTTAAAATTTGGCCAAAAAACGTATGCATTAACAGTGCTGCATGCTTAAACTTTCTTCAAAAACAAAAGTGTTAGAATACCAAAGCTTCCAGCAATAAATAAGAAAAACTTGGAATGAATCAACTTTAATTACCTTGGTTCAATGCTATGTAATTCTGGGGGCTGTAGTTTTACAAGGCCATGAGCTTCCTCTGACAAAGGATGCTGATGCCTCACCAAACTACAAATCCCAGAATCACATCACATTGAGCCCTGGCCATTAAATTAGAGGTGATGTCCCTCAAATAGGAACTCCAAGTGCTCCTGAAGCAGCTTCCCTTTTTGTTTTGGCTCAGTACTAAGATCCATATCATGCAAATCTAATCCGCACCCTAATTTTGGCAAGGCAATTTAGCCCAAAAAAAGGTGAGCATTGCATTTGAGTGATTTTATGAGCCAAATTGCAGAAGGGTTAGCTAGATGAGAAGTAGGATCAGGAGATCAGTGAAATTTCATAGGCAAACTTTCTACACTGTCCTTATAACCCAGGATCTGATCCCAGATTATCTGTTTATCCTGGATTATATGGCAGTGGAGAATCATATAATCCAGTTCAAAGCAGATAACCTTGGATCTTAAGATATAAGGACAGTATATAAGGCACCTAACAGGTTTATTGTAGCACAAATCATTCATTTACACCGGTTTGGTGTAGTGATTTGTGTGATAGACTACAACTCTGGAGACCAAAGGTCTAATACCCACTGTTGTGAAAAGTTACTTGGTAACCTTGGGCAAATCAAACTCTCTCAGCCTTAGAAGAAGGCAAGAGCAAACCCCCTCTGGACAAATACTACCAAGAAAACCCCATGATAGGATCACGTTAGGAACTATGGTCTTAAGATGGCCATTAAAATTAAGTTAGACGAGGCACACAACAACATAAGAAGAGTTCATATTCATCTAAGTGTAAGTGGGGGGGGGGGGGATAGAAATAGTAATAAGAGTAATTAAACACCTGTATAGCAAGTGTTCAAAGTGATTCACACACTCCATCTAATTGTAATCTGTATCACAACCTAGCAAGGTAAGTAAGTGTAATTATCACCCAAATTGTGAGGGAATAGTAGGCATAGGAAGTTAAGCAAAATCAATGAAGGTTAGTACCTGGATGAGACATCACCAAGAAATAAGAACAGTGTGAGCTACATTTCAGAGAAAGGCAACAGTAAATTTCCCCTATTCCTTAACAAAAAAAACCCATGAAATTAATGGATCTGCCATAAGACAGGTGACTTAAAAGTATGGACAGACACACATTGTGAGGGAAAATCTCTGAGTCATTCCGCCAAAGCATCTTTCTTTAGCTTTGTTTCCCAATAGGGCTCAGCTCCTGTCCCATTCTCTGCTTCTGCACCGGCGACATCTTTTCCTGAGTCTCCCTTTCAGGGAATTGGCAAACCCACTGTATTCTCGGGGGCAGTAATTAAATTGAGTGGTATCTCTGTAGCTCAGTGGGCATTGCCCAGCTCCATCTCTGAGGCCCCCGCTACCACTAATGGATCCCACAGCTTTAGGCGACAACGAATCAATATCTGGCTCATTCCCTCAAGTTATATTAGAAATCTCCTTCCCTTTTAATCAGACTCTATCCAACTTCCATTCTGACATGCCAAACTCTTCACAAGAACTCCCACTGCTAAGACAGGGCAGCATACAAACTAGAAAAACTAGAAGAGAAATCATCCTTGGGAAACTTTAAACATTTATGCCAGAAAAGATATAAGAGAAAGAAACAGAGAGAGAGACACTGGGGATTAGACATGAATTCATTGTGTGGCAAAGGGCAAGGTAGTTTCTTTCAACCCAATTGTCCAATCTGTGAAATGGGAATAGGTATGCTTTGCCTCACTTTTTAAGAACTACAGCAAATTGTTTAATATTATTATTTTATTGTTTTAGCAGCTAGGCTCCTGAGCCAAACATCAGCTGTTAGGAGGCTGATTTTATCACGACTATAGCTGAGGGAAGGGATTCAATGCTTATTATGTTCTGTAGCTAGAATCCTAACACTCATGTCAGAGTGTGTTTTTAAAGCCACATACAGACAAGTTTTAAATTATGTGTAATTTTCCTCTACTGAGTTCAGGGCAGCATACAAAACTCCATGTCTTTAGTAAACATAGGTCAAGGTTTCCCCTTGACATTAAATCTAGTCGAGTCCAACTCTGGGGGTGGTGGTGCCCATCTCCATTTCTATGCCAAAGAGCCAGCGTTGTCCGTAGACCCCTCCAAGGTCACGAGGCTGGCATGACTGCATGGAGTGCCATTACCTTCCCACTAAAACGGTACCTATTGATCTATTCACATTTGCATATTTTCAAACTGCTATATTGGCAGAAGCTGTGGCTAACAATGGGAGCTCACCCCAACCATGGATTCAAACCACCGACCTTCTGATCAGCAAGTTCTGCAGCTTAGTGGTTTAATCCACTGTGCCACCATGGCCCTTTTAAACATAAATACATACATATGTATGATCCTCACAACCAACCTGTGATGTATGGTAGGAATTTGAACCTCCACTCAGCCCTGGAAACATGCTGGGTGACTTTGAGCACATCACAATCTCTCAGCCTCAAAGGGAGGCAAAGACATAGCCCCTCGAACAAATCTTGCCAAGGAAACCCCATGATAGGGTTGCCTTAGTGTTGACATAAGTCAGGAATGACTTGAAGGCACACCAATAAGCAACCATCACTGTAGTTTAGCTTCTTTACAAATTGAAAAAGATACTATTCAGAATGGGTAGTCAATAATCATGGTATTGGCACTATTTTGAATCAATAAAGGACATAAACTCTACATATTCTTAGAGGCACCCTTTTCATTACACACCTGTAGGACCGATTACAGGCACAGTCCTCAATGCAGGCAGATTTGGAACAGAATTTCAGCAGTTACATTTCTCGATCTTGGAACCCTTCAGGGGACAAAGCTGTGCTTCCTGCAGTTCTGTATATAACACTTCCTAAAATCCAAAACTTTATTTGCTGTTAGATCCAGAGCTTATTTAAAAAATGACTTGGGGAGCCGTAGTCCCCCCCAAAAATCCGCAAAAGTACTTGCCCAAATTTCAGATCTAATCTGATTTTGGGAGCCAAAGAGTCTCACAGAAGAAAACTTTTCCTGGCTTCTGCTTTAGCTCTAGCTAGCCTCTCGCCTTGCTGATTCATTAAAACCACTTAAATTTGGCGAGGGCACCTTATGTCCTGGGCAAGAGATGCCTGGCAAAGTTTCTCGCTGGCTCAGAAGCCACTGGGCTCTGGAAGACTGCAGCGGAATCATAGAGTTGAAAGAGACCTCATGGGCCATCCAGTCCAACCCTCTGCCAGGAAGCAGGAAAATTGTATTCAAAGCTCCCTCGACAGTTGGCCACCCAGCTTCTGCTTAAAAGCCTCCAAAGAAGGGGCCTCCACTCCACTCCGAGGCAGAGAGTTCCACTGCTGAACAGCTATCACAGTTAGGAAGTTCTTCCTAATATTCAGATGGAATCTCCTTTTCTGTAGTTTGAAATAATTGTTCCACATCCTAGTCTCCAGGGCAGCAAAAAACAAGCTTGCTCCCTCCTCTCTATGGCTTCCTCTCACATATTTATACATGGCTATCATGTCTTCACTCAGCCTTCTCTGAGAGGAGACATGATGACCTGAGGTGCATCCACATCGCATTCATGCAGTTTGACACCACTTTAACTGCCAGAGCACAGTGCAATGTGTGTTGCAATGTGAGTTGAAATGAGAGTTGCAATGGGAGTTGCAGTTTAGTGAGGCACCAGTACTTTTGGGGAGAGAAGACTCTTCCATGATTCCATAACATTGAGCCATGGCACTTAAAGGAATACAGCATTGTCTTGCTTATCCAACCTTCGCTCATCCAAAGTTCTGTATTATCCAACACAAACTGCCCCCGCCCAGATCCACAGCTGTTTCAATACATTGCGATGTTTTGGTGCTAAATTTGTAAATACTGTAACATTATCAGGTATTGATTTCCTTTTTCTGTTGAGTTATTGTGTAACATGATGTTTTGGTGCTTAATTTGTAAAATCATAATGTAATTTGACATTTAATAGGCTTTTCCTTAGTCCCACCTTATTATCCAACATTTTCGCTTATCTAACATTCTGCTGGTCCATATATGTTGGACAAGCGAGACTCTACTGTATATAGTAATCAAGCTGCATTCATTCTACAGTGTGGAGGCATCCCTTGCACCACTATTTAATCTGCCACACTCAGAATCCAGGATTGGAGTTCAGAGCACAGAATGAGCAGCAGGCGTCCCTCCAAGTAGGAAAATACACCAGGGTTCACATGTTATTGGACATGTGTGGAAAAGGGACTATACATACACACAC